CCAGGCCCGGGGACTCACCGGTAAGTGAGGTCGTGGTGCTCCCACTTGAGGTCCCCTTCGAAGGTGAGGAAGCGGCCCACGTCGGGGACGCCGCAGCGAGGGGCCCGCATGGCCTCCAGCGTGCTGGCATCCAGCTCGCCCGTCTCCTCCAAACCCAGCTTCTTCTGCATCCTCCTGAGCGCCTTGGCCAGGGACACCTGCCTGCTGCGGGTCTCGGGCCCCGGCTCCGCGTAGCCGAAGCGCTGGAGGTAGCCCCTTCGAAGGTGAGGAAGCGGCCCACGTCGGGGACGCCGCAGCGAGGGGCCCGCATGGCCTCCAGCGTGCTGGCATCCAGCTCGCCCGTCTCCTCCAAACCCAGCTTCTTCTGCATCCTCCTGAGCGCCTTGGCCAGGGACACCTGCCTGCTGCGGGTCTCGGGCCCCGGCTCCGCGTAGCCGAAGCGCTGGAGGTAGCGCTGAGCAAGGAGAGACAGTCAGGGCGGCTGGCCCGCTGGGAAAGTGCCCCCCAGCCCAAGGAGACGCCAGCTCTGCCCCGGGGACACGCAGCCCTCCCCCCTCCATCAGCCAGGCCCCGGGGGGGCCGCGGGGGCACCGGGCCAGCTCCTCACCTCGGCCAGCTGCAGGTTCGTCAGGTTACTGACCAGCTCCCCGGGGAAGGTGACCAGAGCTGGGGGCTGGGAGTGGAGCGGTGCCGCCCAGCAGCTCAGGGCCAGGAGCCCCACGGCGAGTGGGGCCAGGAGGGCGAGCCCCATGGCGAGGCAGTGGCAGACCAGGATGCAGAGCGCCCCAGCCCCAGAGCGACGCCCAGGGGTCACTTCTCCCCAGCCCGGCGCTGGGGCGCACAGCCTGGGAAGATACCACCACGCCGTGCCCCCAGGATGCAGAGCGCCCCAGCCCCAGAGCGACGCCCAGGGGTCACTTCTCCCCAGCCCGGCGCTGGGGCGCACAGCCTGGGAAGATACCACCACGCCGTGCCCCCAGGATGCAGAGCGCCCCAGCCCCAGAGCGACGCCCAGGGGTCACTTCTCCCCAGCCCGGCGCTGGGGCGCACAGCCTGGGAAGATACCACCACGCCGTGCCCCCAGGATGCAGAGCGCCCCAGCCCCAGAGCGACGCCCAGGGGTCACTTCTCCCCAGCCCGGCGCTGGGGCGCACAGCCTGGGAAGATACCACCACGCCGTGCCCCCAGGATGCAGAGCGCCCCAGCCCCAGAGCGACGCCCAGGGGTCACTTCTCCCCAGCCCGGCGCTGGGGCGCACAGCCTGGGAAGATACCACCACGCCGTGCCCCCAGGATGCAGAGCGCCCCAGCCCCAGAGCGACGCCCAGGGGTCACTTCTCCCCAGCCCGGCGCTGGGGCGCACAGCCTGGGAAGATACCACCACGCCGTGCCCCCAGGATGCAGAGCGCCCCAGCCCCAGAGCGACGCCCAGGGGTCACTTCTCCCCAGCCCGGCGCTGGGGCGCACAGCCTGGGAAGATACCACCACGCCGTGCCCCCAGGATGCAGAGCGCCCCAGCCCCAGAGCGACGCCCAGGGGTCACTTCTCCCCAGCCCGGCGCTGGGGCGCACAGCCTGGGAAGATACCACCACGCCGTGCCCCCAGGATGCAGAGCGCCCCAGCCCCAGAGCGACGCCCAGGGGTCACTTCTCCCCAGCCCGGCGCTGGGCGCACAGCCTGGGAAGCCACCACCACGCCGTGCCCCCAGGATGCAGAGCGCCCCAGCCCCAGAGCGACGCCCAGGGGTCACTTCTCCCCAGCCCGGCGCTGGGGCGCACAGCCTGGGAAGATACCACCACGCCGTGCCCCCAGGATGCAGAGCGCCCCAGCCCCAGAGCGACGCCCAGGGGTCACTTCTCCCCAGCCCGGCGCTGGGGCGCACAGCCTGGGAAGCTACCACCACGCCGTGCCCCCAGGCTGCAGAGCGCCCCAGCCCCAGAGCGACGCCCAGGGGTCACTTCTCCCCAGCCCGGCGCTGGGCGCACAGCCTGGGAAGCTACCACCACGCCGTGCCCCCAGGCTGCAGAGCGCCCCAGCCCCAGAGCGACGCCCAGGGGTCACTTCTCCCCAGCCCGGCGCTGGGCGCACAGCCTGGGAAGCTACCACCACGCCGTGCCCCCAGGCTGCAGAGCGCCCCAGCCCCAGAGCGACGCCCAGGGGTCACTTCTCCCCAGCCCGGCGCTGGGCGCACAGCCTGGGAAGCTACCACCACGCCGTGCCCCCAGGCTGCAGAGCGCCCCAGCCCCAGAGCGACGCCCAGGGGTCACTTCTCCCCAGCCCGGCGCTGGGCGCACAGCCTGGGAAGACACCACCACGCTTTGCTGCCTGCCCCGGCTCTCCCAAGGGGCTGGGCAGCACCTCCCCTAGGCCCTGTGGGGCTCGGGGCTGGCCGGGGTGGCTGGGGCCAGCTCTGCTCAGTGGCGTAAACGGGCCGAGCGCACGGGGGCAGGGTGGCCGGAGCTGGCACCACAGGGGTAGCGCTGCCTAGTGGGACCTTCAGAGCCCCCGTGCAAAGCCAAACCCACCCGAAAACCGGCCTGTCGGGGCAGCACCAGGGACAGCGTGTGGGGCAAGTCTGGGGTCCCTGGGTGCCGGGCTCCTGGGCCAGCCCCCCGCCGTGGGGTAACGGTACACAGGCACCGCGGGATGCCCCGGCCATTGCCCCGCCGTGGGGTAACAGTACACAGGCACCGCGGGATGCCCCGGCCAGCGCCCCGCCGTGGGGTAACAGTACCCAGGCACCGCGGGATGCCCCGGCCATTGCCCCGCCGTGGGGTAACAGTACCCAGGCACCGCGGGATGCCCCGGCCATTGCCCCGCCGTGGGGTAACAGTACCCAGGCACCGCGGGATGCCCCGGCCATTGCCCCGCCGTGGGGTAACAGTACCCAGGCACCGCGGGATGCCCCGGCCATTGCCCCGCCGTGGGGTAACAGTACCCAGGCACCGCGGGATGCCCCGGCCATTGCCCCGCCGTGGGGTAACAGTACCCAGGCACCGCGGGATGCCCCGGCCATTGCCCCGCCGTGGGGTAACAGTACCCAGGCACCGCGGGATGCCCCGGCCATTGCCCCGCCGTGGGGTAACAGTACCCAGGCACCGCGGGATGCCCCGGCCATTGCCCCGCCGTGGGGTAACAGTACCCAGGCACCGCGGGATGCCCCGGCCATTGCCCCGCCGTGGGGTAACAGTACCCAGGCACCGCGGGATGCCCCGGCCATTGCCCCGCCGTGGGGTAACAGTACCCAGGCACCGCGGGATGCCCCGGCCATTGCCCCGCCGTGGGGTAACAGTACCCAGGCACCGCGGGATGCCCCGGCCATTGCCCCGCCGTGGGGTAACAGTACCCAGGCACCGCGGGATGCCCCGGCCATTGCCCCGCCGTGGGGTAACAGTACCCAGGCACCGCGGGATGCCCCGGCCATTGCCCCGCCGTGGGGTAACAGTACCCAGGCACCGCGGGATGCCCCGGCCATTGCCCCGCCGTGGGGTAACAGTACCCAGGCACCGCGGGATGCCCCGGCCATTGCCCCGCCGTGGGGTAACAGTACCCAGGCACCGCGGGATGCCCCGGCCATTGCCCCGCCGTGGGGTAACAGTACCCAGGCACCGCGGGATGCCCCGGCCATTGCCCCGCCGTGGGGTAACAGTACCCAGGCACCGCGGGATGCCCCGGCCATTGCCCCGCCGTGGGGTAACAGTACCCAGGCACCGCGGGATGCCCCGGCCATTGCCCCGCCGTGGGGTAACAGTACCCAGGCACCGCGGGATGCCCCGGCCATTGCCCCGCCGTGGGGTAACAGTACCCAGGCACCGCGGGATGCCCCGGCCATTGCCCCGCCGTGGGGTAACAGTACCCAGGCACCGCGGGATGCCCCGGCCATTGCCCCGCCGTGGGGTAACAGTACCCAGGCACCGCGGGATGCCCCGGCCATTGCCCCGCCGTGGGGTAACAGTACCCAGGCACCGCGGGATGCCCCGGCCATTGCCCCGCCGTGGGGTAACAGTACCCAGGCACCGCGGGATGCCCCGGCCATTGCCCCGCCGTGGGGTAACAGTACCCAGGCACCGCGGGATGCCCCGGCCATTGCCCCGCCGTGGGGTAACAGTACCCAGGCACCGCGGGATGCCCCGGCCATTGCCCCGCCGTGGGGTAACAGTACCCAGGCACCGCGGGATGCCCCGGCCATTGCCCCGCCGTGGGGTAACAGTACCCAGGCACCGCGGGATGCCCCGGCCATTGCCCCGCCGTGGGGTAACAGTACCCAGGCACCGCGGGATGCCCCGGCCATTGCCCCGCCGTGGGGTAACAGTACCCAGGCACCGCGGGATGCCCCGGCCATTGCCCCGCCGTGGGGTAACAGTACCCAGGCACCGCGGGATGCCCCGGCCATTGCCCCGCCGTGGGGTAACAGTACCCAGGCACCGCGGGATGCCCCGGCCATTGCCCCGCCGTGGGGTAACAGTACCCAGGCACCGCGGGATGCCCCGGCCATTGCCCCGCCGTGGGGTAACAGTACCCAGGCACCGCGGGATGCCCCGGCCATTGCCCCGCCGTGGGGTAACAGTACCCAGGCACCGCGGGATGCCCCGGCCATTGCCCCGCCGTGGGGTAACAGTACCCAGGCACACCATTGGAGAGTCACCGGAGCAGCCAGCTGGCTCTGTGCCCCAAGGGACATGCCAAGCCCCCAGGTGCATGGCTCAGGCCCGGCCTCCTGGCTCAGCGCCTCAGGCAGGCCGGTCACTCGGGGTGTGAGCCACAACCAGCCTCCCCCCAGGGCTAGCGCCAGGCCCGCCCTGGGCATGTCACTTTCCCTTGGTTATTTCACCCGCGGAGAACATGTCCTGCCCCCCCGCCCCGGCCCTGGCCTGCTGGCTCGTGGCACTAGCTCGCCCCCCACTCAGACTCAGTGGCTGTACGGCACGGTGAGTAACACGGACTCTCCAAAGGGGGCCAGGGGCAGCTCGGGCCCTGCTGGGCAGGACTGGGAGCAGGGTGGCCAGGAGGGAGCAGCCCAGAGACTGCCTTGTTGCCCAGAGGGGCCCCTGGCTGTGGGGCTGGGCAGGCTGGCTCTTCTCACGCCAGTTTGGGAGGGTCCTTGGCTCCCTCCCCCCTTGGGAGCAGAAGCCCAGGCCCCACCTGCCATCCCTGTGCCCCCTGGACCTGGCTCTGCCATAGACCAAAGGCTCCCGGAAAGTCTCCGCGGCCTCGGCCCCCTCAGGCCTGCGTGGGGCTGGTCCTGCCTTTCAGCAGGGGAGCCCCGCAGAGCATGGGGGAGCCGTGCGGTGCCCACAGCCCGCCCGCCTCGGCCGATGGGCCTGGGCCCCACCCCCCC